AATATTGACACAACAGTGAAGCAAGGTCCTAGTCTTGGAAGACGCAGAAGGGAATGGGCCTCAGAGCACAGGTAGGAGACTAAAAGGTATCACATTAGAATTGAGGATAGAGCCTAGGGTCATATTTTAGGACAAAGGGACACATCCAATTCCAATATCAAGTCAAAACCTGCCAGAGCTCTAGTTCTTAAAGAAATTGCCAGTGGAGCCCATCTCAGGATGGAGTAAGAATGAATACACATTGCAGGGAAAGGGGGGTAAGAGATGGGAGAGCCAGCAGGAGTGAAAATGAGATGGACATGAGGGGAGTGATGAGGCAAGTGGGATGGGGACCAGGGACAGGGTCTCACTGAAAGGGTGGACAGTGAGAGGGTGGGACGGCCAGCCATCAGCCTGCTATGTTAGTTTGCCATTTACATCATTTACATCAATAGGTGTACATTTCCTCCATGGAAATGAGGGGCCTGCATCCTGGCGTTGGACTGCATCTCCTGATGAGAACAAAGGCGAGAAGACTCCCAACTTCCCACTTCCTCCTGGTACAGAGCTACCCAGAGGCACCCTTCCCAAACTAGCTTGACTCCCCCTTCACTGGCTTGCTGTGGAAGCACCCTGCATAGGAATCCCACAGCCTCCTTTCCACCAAGAGGAATATATCTCTGCTGCCAGTTATCCAAGTTATTGGCAATCAGGGAACAAATTTTCATGGTACAGAAAGAAGCTTTAAGGAAAGGGTACACAGGGCTTCTTTCGTTTCTACTCTTTCAACTGGAAAAAAAAAGCTAGAATATTGTTATAAGAAACCAGCTCCAGTGAGTAAACAACCTGTGTGTTGACATTAGTTTATTAATACATTTAGAATGACAAAAAGTGACTTCATGCAGGAAATTAATATGCTTATTTGCTTAATGAACCATTACTGGATATAATCAGTTGGTCTGACTAAATAATGTGTCCTTGATTTTATTGCCCCACTCACATTTTTATCTTGGAAATCTTAACCTAACTGAATATGCCCAGAAAGAATAAAGGAACATGAGTGTCAACATTATTAGTCCCGTGAAAGATAAGGATTTTTTTTAAAAACAGTGTAATTGATGCCTTTCATTGAAGAAAAATTTGAGATTTCTTTTTTAGCCTAACATTTGGCATAGCATTCATTTGGTCAACAAGTATTTATTGGGCATCTATTGTATGAAAGATGAAGCACAGTTTTGAGTCATAAGTGGGACACAACATTTATTTAGACACAGATCATGTTCTCAAGGAAGTTCAATCCATTAGGAGAGTTAAGGTATATGCATAAATAATTATTAACAATGTAAAATGTAATCAGCTCCAAAGAAAGAATCCATTATCCTGAGATCTCAGGAGAGGAACAGACTAGAATGGATGCCCATGTTTAGCTTCCCAAGACTGGCCTAAGAGAGCAACAGAGCAGGGGTTGCCGAAGTGTTATGAATTTAGTAGAACCTGGGAAATGCACCTGCTTTCTACATTTCCCAACCCACCTGTTCACAGATGTGTAGTGTGCCTCACATTCACTCCACAAAAAGATGCAATGCTTAAAATGTAAGTCCTTCTTGGAGGTGGAAACCCATTGACTTAGAGTTGACACAAATGTATAAATAACTAGACTTTTCTCTAAGAACAGATTTTGATAGAAAGAAGAGAAGAAGGAAGTCCAGAAGTAAATGCTGTAAGGGGTAATGAGGCAACAGAGAAAAGAAATACAGACACAGTAACAGAAATAAGACTTCTGGGATCATTTGTTTTACAGGATTGCCTAGGGGTAGGCTTGGGAACAATCTGAGAATCGAAAGGTTTGGGCAGATTCACATTACATGTTTGGATTCTTGTAATTATACATTTATTTATTTATTTTTGTAATTATGCTTTAAGATAAAGGTGGGTGTGCATGCATAGGTATATAAGTATGTGTTTGTATTTATGTGTGTGTACATTATATATGCACATGACAGAGCTATGAATATAAATGCAGATATGTTTGTTCAGTCTAAAATCTATTAGGAACATTTATTGTTTAAAACTTCAATCTTGCCTTGGTGCTTCTGCAAAGAGAGCCAGGGTGAGAAGGTCTAGAGATAAGGGCTAGAAGCTCAAGACCTTTGCAAGCTTCACTATCTTGCTCAGAGGCACCCTAGGAGAGCCTAGCTGAGCCTCAGTTTCCCTTTATGTGGTGCTTGGTGTTATAAATCCAAACCATTTTGGATGCACTTTTCTTATGCCCTCCCCTCCGCAACTACTAGACTGCTTCATCTGTCATAATCTGTTAACATCATTTGTTTCTCAGGTCCCTCTAACTTCCTGGGTAGTGATAGCAGAGGCAGAGGGGCTTGCTGTCCCTCATTCTGTGTTGTAAGTGCCTTGGAGGTCCCTCAGGCACCTCCACTTTACCTGGAGCAAACTTAGCTCATTATTTTCCTCAAAATACCCCACCATGGGGCACCTGGGTAAGTCAGTCGGTTAAGCGTCCACCTCTTAATTATTGGCTCAGGTCATGATCTCACAATTTGTGAGATTTGCCTCCTATAGCCTCCATCTCAGCAGATAGTGTTTCAGTTCACTCCAAATCCAAATTAGAAATCCAGCTGGTTAAGTTCCAATCCATCCAGTCACTAAATTCTACCCCAGAAATGACTTCTACTCTATGCCTGGTTTCATTCCAACCACCCTGCATTAGTTCAGGGCCTCATTACCTCTCTTGTGGACCATCACAGGATCTCACAGCTCCACTCCAATCTCCCGTCCTCCTCCTCCTTCTACTTCTCCTTTGTGCTGCAACAGGGTTATTCCCCATGCAAACCAAACATGACCATACGACCCTCACTTTAGAAACTCCTCTGCTTTCTCCTGGCTGCCTGGCCTACAGATGAAGTTCAAGCTCCTTCACCTGCCACATGACGTGTGTAACGTCCAGCTGTAACACTCACCATTCTTCCACACACGTCTTAGGCTCCAGTTAGACTGAACCTGTCCTAATGCCTTAAAATGCCATGCCTTTTGGAATCCCCCTTTGCCCACATGTTCCCTCTGCTGGAAATACCCTTCCCCCTACCCTTTTCTTGAGAAACTCCTACTTATCCTTAAAACTCAGCTCAATGCCACTTCCTCTGTAAATTCTTCCTTTACTCTGAAATTAACTGCAACATCTTTTGTGCCTCACCCACAGCTCTGCTAAATTTCTTAATATTTCTTGCATGTTCCATATTCCTGATAGGCCATGGACTTCTCTTGGGCAGAAACTGTGTCTTAAGAGCCACCACCTCATACAGTGGTAAATGATCAATACATACTATAGAATTCATTGATTACAAGGAGAGTTCAGGGTTTAAGTGCCACTTGCTGAATCAAACCTGAGTTTGCTCTCATATAGGAAATCTTCAGAAGATTGAGTAGGGAAGGGACAAAGTGGTAAGTCACACAAGCAGGCAAGGCCCCAGGAGCATTCTATGCTCAGGAAGAGATAAACTGTGTACTTTCTTGTCTGTAATTTACTTTTAAATGCTCAGTGAAGACCAGAATCGGCAAACCCCATGGGCCAAATCCAAGTTTTCATCTGTTTTTAGAAACAACTTTTATCTGAATGTAGCCACGTTGGTTCACTTAAGTATTGGCTATGGCTGCTTGTGCACTTCAAAGGCAGGGCTGAGTAATTGCAAAAGAGATCAAATGACATGCAGAACCAAAAATAAATAAGTAAATAATTTTACTATGTGGCCCTTTACAGAATTTGCTGACCCCTGATATAGACCATATGGTATAAATGTGTATGTGAATTTCAATCTGCAATCCAGGGGCACTCTATTGCTCTCACTGGAATTACTCATCTTGGAGTCAGTATTTAATCAAATAAAAATATATTAGAGACTTTTATACCCTTTTTTGAACAGAGTATAAAAATCCAGTGAGTCCTATAGTCTGTCCCCTTAGGAATGGCAACCTAGGCCATCTGAATGGTTCTGGGTCCAGCTAGTAATCTGGAGGTTTCTCAGAGCCTTAGTCCAACTAGATAGTTAATTGAATCCTAATGCTAGAATATTACTGCATTTGCTAATAATGAATATTTCATGTCCTTTCATTAAAGCACAGCACAGGGACTTCACTGAGCTCACAGAATAGGGGTATGACACCTGTGTGCCTCTTGCTAGGAGATGTCCATATGTGTGGTAGGGATCAGTCAGCCCTGCTTCAATTGTAACTTGGTGGGGAAGAGACCACAGCACTCCTTTACCAGTAATTATGGCAGGCTCTCTAATTTTCACCTAAAAGAACCTAACAGCTATTGCTCCTGACCTGATTGGCTGAGGTCAGTGCCCAGAAGCTTGCTATGGGGATTGTCATATTTGTCTCAGCACATTCAGGGGGCAGTTCTTTCTCGCACATGTGATTGAGGAACTCTGAAACAGAGCATCCACCTTGTACCATAGAGATGCTTAGCCTCCCACCCCATCCCCACTCTGAGCACAGGAGGTGGAAGCTAAATGAGCAAGAGCAGGGCTTGGATCATGGAAAATGGCAGGTTGAGCATGTGCACACGTAGAAGAAACTTGTGAGGATGCAGAGTGGGGAGCATATACACAGAAGGATGAGGGGGACTTGTAACCTGTACGAAAGGATCCACAGAGCAAGGCAACTGGGTGATTAAAATAGTGTAGTGTTAATCTGTCCTAGTAGTGTGCACGATTTCTTTGGTGGTAGCTGGGGTACACTACAAAAAGATTACTTGTAGCACTCAATAAATAATTACTTATAAAATATGGAAACATTTTTAAAAATCATATTCATGTTCACAAGCCCCAGAGCTGTTTCAGAACTAGATATATGAAGACAAAAGTACTACTATTTATAGTCAAGGACTTGAAAATACATATCCCTCCCTCAGTTGATTCTTGCCACTGCAGGGCAAGATGGTCTTTGATGTAAAGCAGAATACACAATTTTAAGCTAGGCACAAATTAGGCATGACAGTTACTCACGGACTCTGAAATTTCTTCCTGAGGCTCTGGAGTGGATCCACCAAGTTCTTCCTCTGATATCCCCAACCCAGGTTGAAGTAGTGGAGAACCCAAAACTTGAATGAGGTAGGAATCAAAATCCTCACACTTCTTTTTAAACACTTTTTGCTTCAGGGTGTCTTTTAAAAGAGAAGTATAAAAGGGGGGGAGAGTGGGAACAAAATATGTTTAAAGAGATCTTCCACACTTTGCTTAAAACAAAAAGACATTTTCACATCACTTGAAGTCAACTGCTCGGTGAACTAAGTTTTAAAGCATTTGGGCCTCACCTATAAGAGGCCATCTAAAATAATTCACTTTGGGGTGCCTGGGTGGCTCAGTCTGTTAAGTCCAACTCTTCGTATTGGCTCAGGTTATGATCTCATGATTCGTGGGTTTGAGCCTCACATGGAGCTCTGTGCTGGCAGTGTGGAGCCTGCTTAGGATTCTCTCCCTCTCTCTCTAAATTTTTTTTTCATGTTTATTTATTTTTGAGACAGGGAGAGACAGAGCACAAGTGGGGGAGAGGCAGAGAGAGAGGGAGACACAGAATCCCAAGCAGGCTCCAGGCTCTGAGCTGTCAGCACAGAACCCCATGCAGGGCTTGAACTTGCAAACCACGAGATCATGACCTGAGCTGAAGTCGAATGCTTAACCGACTGAGCCACCCAGGCGCCCCTCTCTCCCTCTCTCTTGCTACCCCTCCCCCATTTGCACTGTTTCTCTCAAAACAAATAAACTTTCAAAAATAATAAGATAAAATAATTCAATTTAATTTAATAACGTACAACAACCTAAAGTACGCAAAAGAATGACTTAAATCCTTGCTATCCAAAGCATCAGCTGAACTATTCTGTGGAAGGGGCAAGTTCTACCCATAAGAAGTATAATAGCCAGTCATCTCTGGTTTTAGGGATAGCAAAAGGCCAGCCAGTCCAAAAATATATCCCTCATTGGCTGGAATGAAGTCTAACTCCTTTGGTTAAGATGATAAAGTTCTTAATTATCAAAACATAATATGTCTGAAATGTGTCATATTTATGGACATTCGAACACATTAATAGCCCAGTGAGATTGACTATGTGAGATAAACCCACCAGTCACCCTGCAGTGTGTGTTAAGGAAATGAAACCCCAGGTTCGAAAGGCCTGGAGAAAGGGAGAAAGTGAAAGTAAGAAGGTTCTGAGTGAGGCATGCTATTCTTCTGGTGAGCTATGCTAGGACCCAGAGTAGGCCAGGAGCAGCATGAGGCAAAGAAAGTCTGTGTTAGGCCACGTCAGACCCCGCTCCAAGATGGGTGGGGAAGGAAAGAGGGAGCCAAACCTAAGACTGCAAACAGATTAAGCATATGTTTTACTTACTTCCTAAGCTGGAATGAGTTATCAGTTTCCAAAGAATTGGAATATTGCTTGTGAAACAGTACTGACCCTACTGCAATTGTAGATGAGTTAGTGTCTTAGAATGACTCACTGGAAAATATCAGTTCATGTGAAAGAGTAAAGTAATAGAGGGAAGCCCATCAGAGTAGCATGATGACTATTCACAATGTTGTACTTTGAGATAGACTCCTGGGGCACATGGGTGGCTCAGTTGGTTAAGCATCCAACTCTTGATATTGGTTCAGTTCATGATCTCATGGTTTTTGAGATTGAGCCCCACATCAGGCTCTGCACTGACAGCATGGAGCCTGCTAGGGATTCTCTCTCTCTCTCTCTCTCTCTCTCTCTCTCTCTCTCTGTCTCCCCCTCCCCATCTCTCAAATAAATAAACTTAAAAAAAAAAGATAAACTCCTGATATCCACCTGTTTATTCTTCATTATCTTCATATTTTGTTAAGAGCAGAGAATAGGAAATAGAACAGAGACTAGAATAGAATAATCCCAGTTATTGTATTTCTCATCTCTTTAGATTACCATAACTTTTTTTCATTCCCTGTGTATTTCTTAATTCACTTTGCTTCCATGATTATTTTCTGCCTTGCTATTGGCTTACTGCATCTCTTATGCAATTAGGTAACTTTTTGAACATTACCTTAGAATATCCCCAATCCTACTCTTTCTTTTTAACCATATCCTCAACCATGATAGCTCAGTTAACAAACTCCAAGGCCAACTCAGCACTTATTCCAAATGAATAAAGACAAGAGATTATACTCTCTAAACTGGATTGATGCTAAATGTGTTTTACCTTCCGGAGTTTATGTGTTCAATTAAATGTTGGTGTAAGCCTCATTAGCCTCCTACTGATTTCCATTTTTGGTCAGAATAATCCAGTGATGTGGTACTTGGAGCAATAACATCAACTCCTTTCACCTGATACTGAGTCTTACCTTGCAGGGTAATGAAGTCATCAAACTGATAAACGTGCTCACTATCTGGGTCAGTAGCAATCAGATTCATTTCTTTGTGGAACATTTCGAAGTTGGGGTCATTTTTCTTCACTACCCCAATCACAAATATTTCCACATTCATGTCACTGGCTTTCTTCACTACCTCTGTCAGATTCTTTTCATCTCGGATATCTGTCTGCCCATCAGTGATGACCAAGGCCACCTTCTTTACACCTGGTCTTGCAGCTTCAAACATGTGGTTGGCTTCATGGAGTGCTGTGGCCGTGTAGGTGCCTTCCCCCAGATACTGCATGTTGTCCACAGCCAGCTTGAAGTCATCCTTGTTGGAGAACTGTGTCAAGTGGGCCACCTTCTCCACCTTATGGCTATAGTTAATTATGCCGATGCGGGCCGTAGCTAGGTCCAGAGCAACCTGGTCAGACAGAGTCTTCACAAGATTTTTGATGATCTGGAAGTTCTCCAGCCCCACGCTTTCAGAGCTGTCGATCACAAACAGCAGTTCTAGAGGAGTCTCTCTGCATTTGGGCCCACAACCTAAAAGATGCATGTTGAGGTAGAAACATTGCATGAATGAAAATAAAAACTTACTGATTGGTATGAGAGAGGGGCAGGGATGAACCAGAGACCTGGATTATTACTTTCCTTCTCTGTGAGTGTTAACATAGCTAACAACTGTCCACCTCTGGTTTCTATATCTGACTTTAAATAAAAGTATACTGCAAAAACAACCCCAACCCCCCCCCCACCACCAAAACACCGTAGAAGATAAAATAACGTACAGCTATGTGCCAATTTCTCCGATTAAAAAAATACATTTTTAAAAGAGATGGCATCCCTGTGTATGCCTTCCTGATGACATTCTTCTCCCTCTTCCTAAGAGATCACCCTATCCTCAGTTTGCTCTTTATCCTTCCAGCATTTGTATTGAAACTGAATCTGAAAGCTACTATTTTAGTCTTCAATCATATCCTTCTGTGAGATTTGCTATTTGCTCATTAGCATCAGCAGTGGGTAAAGTGATGGATTGAAAATGTTTAATCATGGGGGAGGGATTAGGACCTGTAACTGTTCACAAGAATAGCTGTCCCCAGCTACTCAAGTTTATGTCTCGAGTCACTCACAGTGACCGCTAAGCTGGCTCAGTGAGGCCAACAGTGCATCCATACTATGAAACCTTTTAAGGAGAATGATCTCAGAATGCTGGTCAATAAACACCTTCTATTTAGGGTTTACCATTCAAAGCAATCGTTAGGGTCACCAGGAAATAAGAACTATCAGGGCTCCATTGGTTTATTCATATCCTCAGGTTGCCCAACAACCCTACCGCAAAAAATCATGAGGAAACTTGGTGTTATATTTACAGGGCTTCTAAAACTCAGAAGCCACATCTAAATTGGCCTGTCACCATACAGAGTCCCAAGTGGGTTCTTAAAGCCCAGAGGTCTTTTGGGGGACAAGCCAGTTCAGGGGTTCTCTGTAAGGAAAAACAAAGACATTTCTGCCTCTGTCTGTTTGAAACACACAAGTTTCTCTTATCTTCATTAGTCTATTAATCTCTTGCCTTTTGGCTAATCTCTTTTCTTCCTCTTTCTGCTAATTCTATTTTAAGTCAATCATATTTAGCCATAGAAGCATTTAGATGGAGCTCTGAAGCAAGATGACCTCCTGACTCTGTCGGCCTGCCTCTGAAATGAAATGCGCTCTAGAAATAGTGCTTAAAACTCCACTCAGAGAGACTTCTTGCTTCAGGAAAAACACAGACAATATAATCACCAGCCAGGCTGGATTCAAATACCAGTTAGGCCCCTGTGGTTATATTTCTTTTGTTGTTTTTTCCTTCCCAAGCTCAGGTAAATGTCACTGATTACAAATGAGCTCTGTGCTCACAAAAGGCCTGGCTGCCCACAGACTCCAGGGCCAGTATCTTCACTCTTCTGAACCACCCTGGGAAGATGATTTCTTTTTTTAAATCAGGATTCCTATAGCCTCTCTCACTGCTTCTTGCCATTTCTCATTGACTTTTCAAAAGAGCTTCAAACGTTCCCATGAGCTGTATCATCTACATCTCCGGGTGACCACATTTATCTTGACCAACACAGAACATAGTAGGGTTGGTACTTTAAAGTGATGATTCTCTTCTTGACAGTCAAATCTTACCACATATCTCAAAAATAATTTTGATAATTTCTTCTTTCTGGAGGACAAAAGGAAAATGTATTAATTATATGACCATAATATTTCTTCCTATAGTCCTAAAAGCTATGTCTTACTACAGTCAGCATTGGTCTGTTTCCTTTTATTCTTTCACCAAAGGAAATAAATAGCACAGGGGTTAAAAGTTGGCCACAATATATCACAACTGAAATGCGTTTGCATTGTGAAATGTCATAGCTCAGATTTTCGCAGTTCAGATTGTGGCTTAGCATTTATCAGCTGTGTGACCTTGGACATAGATGATCTAACAGTATCTGTGTCTCAGGGCCGTGATGGAGATCGAATGAGGCTATGCACACAGAACTCCTAGGATAGGGTCTAGCGCCATAAGGTACCGCTTACAAGGTGCGGGCAATGCGTGCAATCAGTTACACAATAACCCACATGTGCTGAGCAACCAAGACAAGTACTGGGGCCAAAAGAGAATTCATTCTACACTGTATTCCCTCTTTCTTTTCTCTACCGCTGTCCAGTTTTGCAAGTCTCCTTCCCAGCTTCCCAATACTTTGACTTTGGCACTTCCATGAAGTGTCGCCATGTTCCTGAATGCCCCTGGTCCTGCAGCCATCAGCCCCAGCAGAAGAGCCTGGGATGAGGTGGGTAGTAGAAATAAAGCTGCCAATGCTCTGCCCTGAGCAGCACGTTTACGAATAACTGGGATGATGCGACAGAAGGCAGAATTCTATATTTGCTGAAGACAGGAAGGTGACAGGAATGATTAACTTAATAGAAGCCCAGAAAATCTCAACAGGAAGGAGGCATGAACCTGATCTAAGAAGATAAAAATTTAACAGTTGCAAAAGTAAAGTTTTGAAGAAAAGAATCTATACTGACAGAATTGGGGTAAAGATGACATCGTTGGTGATGTGACTTAACAGAAACACGTATGGAAAATATTCAGGGCACTTTAATTGTATTTTTAATTTAAATTGAGTAAAAGCCAATAATTCCAGTGGCTATTTAAAAAGAACTCCCAGATACAATATTATAAAATTATATAAAATGAGGAAGTCATCAACATCACTGATATCTCTTTCGAGGGGGGTGGGGGATTGTCATATTTTAGCACATTTAGAGAGGCATTTAATAAATCTGAAACCAGGACATGTCTAGAAAAGGCAAATGTCTATATTTATATATTTATATTATGTATTTGGAAAGGGGAAATATATGTATTTATGTTCAATTTTTTACAAGTGGAGAAAATACTTGACACCAAGTTTATGATTATAGTTTTTCACTTAACATTATTGCATAATTAATTTCCCATATTATTAAGTATTCTGAAAAACTTGAGGGGCACCTGGGTGGCTCAGTTAGTTAAGCATCCGACTTCGGCTTAGGCCATGATCTCACAGTCTGCGGGTTTGAGCCCCGCGTCAGGCTCTGTGCTGACAGCTCAGAGCCTGAAGCCTGCTTCGGATTCTGTGTCTCCCTCTCTCTCTGCCCCTTCCCTGCTCCCACTCTGTCTGTCTCTCAAAAATGAATAAACATTTAAAAAAATTTAAAAAAATTTATTACTGAAGTCAGATGCACGACCATTTAAGGTTCTTGATTCATCCTGCCAAAGTGACATTCAGAAAAATTGTAACAAACACCACTAACAGCAGTCTATAAGAAAAACTTTTATTTTAGACACAAAATACTGGTTATTACTATTACATAATCTTTGCCATTTGATAGAACAAGAATTTGCAGTATTTTAAACTATACTTATGCAATTCTCAGGCTAAATTTTATTTCATAAGCATGTTTCCAAGTTGTATCCTCGTGTGCAAATTCTTTGTATGTTTTTTGTCCATTATTTTCTATTAAAATGTTTCTCTTTCACTGATTTATAAGAATAATATATATATCAAAGTTGCATTCTAATGCTTTTCATTGTGCTTTTATGTCATAACTGGGTCTAAAATGCTTTAAGTACTCACATATATCAATCTTTTCCTCCTATTCTTTGCTTTTACGTGACTAAAATTGTTTTATTTTTTTCTACTCAAATTGCCCAATGACTACTTTGGCTATTTTTGCCAATGATGAAGCCATCAAATTTATATCCATCAAAAGATTCATAGTACTTCTTATTAGAAGTAGACAAATAAGTACTTTTGTAAGTGCTATGCTATTGGGTTGGAGCCAAAGAACCACGTTGGTCTGCTGGGATTTCCAGGGGTGGGAGCATGAGGGTGGGGTTGTGGTCCAGGGAGGTAGATTGTGAGCAGGTTGGGGTAGGAAATGGTGGCAGGGTAGAGGGGTTGGGGGAGGAGGAGGTGGGGGAGGAACATTCCAGGCAGGGGGCAAAGTACACAAAGCACAGTGCATTACAGTACTTGAGTAAACTTGGGACTCAAGGTACATGGCAGAAAGGATGACAGGAAATGTGGAAGACAGATGAACTCTAGAAGGTCTGTGTGTCATGTTGAAGGGTGTGAATTTTATCCTGGGCAGCTAGAAGACACATGGTCCCTAGGCAGAGAAGAGATCTGATCACATTTTGCTTTAAAAAGGTGATCATGGCAGCCAGTGGAGGGGGTTGAGGTTCCTAAATAGTTCAGGGGAAAAAGTGACACCAGAAAGCAGCAGTGGCAGTGGATGGGTAGGAGGGGCTGGCCTGGAGAGACCTTTCAGAGGGAAAATGAAGGGGTTGGTGAGTAATTGGAAGAAAGGGTGAGGAAAAGGAGTCTCAAAGGAAACAAATGGTGATGGCACACTCTCAGAGGTAGGGAAGAATGGACTAGGCAGGCTGGGAGCTAATGAAGATCACCGGGGCTCAGCTTGGGCCTGGCTGGGTCTGATGCATCGAGGGGACATGTGGCTGGAGATGTCCAGTAGGCAGTGAGATGTAAGGTCTGGTTCTCAAGAGAGCAGTTCAAACTGGAGGCGGATTTAAGAAAAGCCAGTGTACAGCTGACTGTTGATGGCAGATGAGATTTCATGGAGCAGAGCCTTTCAGTCTTTTTTAAACTAGTGTATCCCCATACCCCCATTTGTTGAACATATTCTTTTCCATGTTTATAATCTAAAGACAATATTTTTTCACCCTCCATTCAACTTTACTATGATATTACATTAGCTTTTTCAAACTACAACCCCCCCATCCCCCGCCTTCCTTTCATGGCTATCCCTTCCTGAGAGTTTAAAGACCAGGAGAGAGAAGACTGAGGGCAGACACTGAGAAACGCGAACATGTAAGGGACAGGTAGAGAAATAGTCTTTCTGAAGCAATTTTTGGCATGAAGTATTAAAACATCGAACCCTGCCATTGGTATTTGCCTCTTAAAAGAGTAGTTTGCTAATCTGGATGAATTTACAACTGACAGCTGTTTGGGGATATATTTGGTCAAGGAGAGAGCGTGGGTGGGAAGAAGAAAGAGGCCTTCTAAGAGCAGCATTTGTGGGGGAGCAGACTAGATTTGGTACCAGACAAGCCATCTTTGGCTACAAGGGTTCTGCTACTTGTTAGCAAGGTGACTTCAGGCATATGGCTCAAACTTTCTATCTGACTTAGCATGTCTTTCACTGAAGTATAGATAACAGTACCTCACGGGGCTATCGTATGGATTAACATGGAGTCTTGGGCAAGAGAGGGTTGTGGCCTACAGTCTGTCCCCTTCTCATTGCACCCTCTCCCCACCAGTTCTGCACTGCACGGGACCTGGGCCAGTATTCATGTAGTGAACACAGTCCTCAATTCTGAGCTCTGTCCAAATTCCCTGAAAACACTTTCCCCTTGCCCACCTTTTGGGTGGACCCATGCATACAGGTCAGTGCTGTCAGCTTTCCAAATGGGCCATTTAGGCAGGCAATTCTGGGATCCTGTGTGTCCAGAGTGTAATATTGGGGGGGGGGGGGCATGAGCTCAGGGTCGTCACTCTTGTTGGCCCTGAGGACTCCTCACCCAGGAAAGGGTACAGCTGAAGAAGTACTAAAGGTCCAGAGTGGGCCCTCTAAGGAGCCCCCAGGCATCTTACCCAGTAAGGGTGGTACTGATGTGAAGGAGCCTACACAGTACCAGTCACATACTAGATTCGCACTTAATGAAAATTCTCTCTTCCTTCATTCATCCTTCCCTGCTAGGCCCTTTTCTAGAATCTAGAAAGCCAAATCAGCAGAATGACACCCCCATTTCTAAGATAGAGATCTTAGAATCTCTATCCAAAGTGGTGCAGCCACTTTGGAGAACAGTATGGAGGTTCCTCAAAAAACTAATTTTAGAACTACCCGATGACCCAGCAATTGCACTACTAGGCACTTAAACATGGGATACAGGTGTGCTGTTTCGAAGGGACACATGCACCGCCATGTTTACAGCAGCACTATCAACAACAGCCGAAGTATGGAAAGAGCCCAAATGTCCATCGATGGATGAATGGATAAAGAAGATGTGGCATATATATACAATGGAGTAATACTCGGCAATCAAAAAGAATGAAATCTCCAGTTCCATCCATTTGCAGCTATGTGGATGGAACTGGAGGGTATTATGCTAAGTGAAATTAGTCAGAGAAAGACAAGTATCCTATGACTTCACTCTATGAGGACTTTAAGAGACAAAACAGATGAACATAAGGGAAGGGAAACAAAAATAATATAAAAACAGGGAGGGGGACAAAACAGAAGAGACTCATAAATATGGAGAACAAACTGAGGGTTACGGGAGGGGTTGTGGGAGGGGGGGATGGGCTAAATGGGTAAGGGGCACTAAGGAATGTACTCCTGAAATCATTGTTTCACTATATGCTAACTAATTTGGATGCAAATTTAAAAAAATTAAAAATAAAATTAAAAAAAATTTCTGCTCAGGAGATAAAAGCCTAACTTGGCCCCAAGCATCACCATACATCATTTCGTCTGCTCAGGATCCACATATCTACCCCTATCATAGCATTTATCAAACTGCAGGTGAACATCGTTTGCTTGTCTTTCTTTCTAATGGGCTGTGAGCTCCTTGAGTTCAGAGACAGAATCTTTTATTCTCGACAATTCCCCTGGCACCTACGTCAGAGCCTGACTCAGAATACATGCCCAATAAATGTCGGTGAAATGAGAGAACAAATGAATGGATGAAGGAAGTCAGGCCCTCTCCCCATGTTGGGATAGGAGGGAGGGTATAAACCAATGGGGAATGTTCCTCTGGGGATTTGACATACATTCTCCCTGCTACTCTGGGGGAGGCATTGATGTGCACACAGCTGTTTCATGCCCATAGGCATCTGGGGGTGTCTGACTTGTGGTGAGGAAGAGCAAAGAGGAAAAGGCAAACAGGCCATAAAGAAAGTATGTGTTCTGTTTGTCATATGCCCAGCTCTCGTGTCTTACCATCACCACCTAAACTCCCAAACCCCTACACCTGGATTCACTTAGCACAGCAAATAGGGTCACTGTCCTCAGACCATGACCCACTGAACAATCAAAAAGAGGAAAAAAAAAAAAAAAAAAAAGAGAAGGTTCTTGCTGCTTCTCCACTCTAGGAGATGTAGTGCCTTCCAATGAGAAAGGAAGAAAAAGACTTTGCCACAGAATTTCTAAAACTTTCCCACCCCGTGGGACGTTAATGAGTCAGCTTTTTATTTGCAATGATGCGGGGAGAATAAGGAAAAGTTTGTCGTTGCCTCACAAGTTCTCTGGAATAAGTGAATCCGTACCTTAAAGTAGTCCCCATTTTGTGATGGCTGTTCTCAGAGTACTTCCTAAAGGAGCCAGTCAAGGAAACAGAACTCCCATTCCGGAACGTGAAGGATCACATAGATTAAAAGTTACCTGGTCGGGTGGCTTCTTTGAAACAGCTCACCTCCTTGTTACCATGTCTAGCAGGGGTCAGAGGGAAGTAGCAGCATATCCCCAGGAGGCTGGGTAAGGGTTGCCTGGTGTTATTTCTCCCTCACGCTCAGATCAGTTACCTCATGCCCAGTCAACACTGGGCTTGTAGCAGTGATATCATTTAAAAAGCAACTGGAGCTCTGCATCCAAAGAATTCATGCTTCTGAAGCTAAAACATGAATGTAATAATTTTGCAAATGTAAACCCTCAATTACCCTCTAGGATGGATACTCACAGTAAGTCCTGTGTCTCCCTTTGGTCCTTGTAACCCCTACTTAGTGGAAGAAGAGTAACAGTCAGTGTAGGTTGGAACAAGCTAATGTATAAAATTACACTAAGACTTTAAAAATCATTTCTTGCCTGTTTCCCTGGAGATCCGGGCTCCCCAATTTCACCTTTATCACCTTTCTTTCCCATAGCGCCCCGTTCTCCATGCTCTCCCTTTGTAATATAGTGAAAAAATAAGTATAGAACGTAAATATTAAAGCCAAACTCTAAAATTTGGTTCGTTTGCAAGTGGCATCTCTTAAAGACCTGTGGGGCTTGTTGATACAAATATACTATCGGAAAAAAATGGCAAGCATTATATTTAGATCCCATCCCCACCCCCCAGGTACCATAAGCTAATTCATGATGAGCCGGGGGTCTCAAGGTGAGGAGATCTTGAGTTACTATCAGATCGGCTGGCTACCTTCGGGAAGTTCAACTATTGTAACATTCTAACCAGGGTTATCCAGTGTTTTCTATGTGGTATGTTGTAAGGATTTGTTCCTTTATCAGCTGGCTTTTAAGGATGAAAAAATGAGATTTTATGAAGTAAGCATGTTTATAGTTAGGAAAGGAAATGCATAAGGAACTGCTTTCAAATGGATTGTTTCCTCTGAGAGCTGTCAGAATAAATGACCAGTAGAAGTGTTCTTCTAAAGTTTATGTTAAGCTATTGAGATCCTAAACCTAAGCATTTCTCTAAGGCCCTGAAATGCTTACCTTCTGGCCAGGGAGGCCATGGCCTGTCATGCCTTTTGGCCCTGGAAAACCTTGAGGTCCTTGCTCCCCCTACACACAATATAAAGAAGGGATCATCCCATTAATTTCCCAAGATAACTCAGAAAATTCCTTGGGTCATATATACACTTGCAGTTTCAGAACAGCCTTATAACATTATCTAAATTGCAGGGGAGGGGTGCCTGGGTGGCTCAGTCAGTTAAGTGTCTGGCTCTTGATTTTGGCTCAAGTCGTGATCTCCTTAGTGAGTTTGAGCCCAGTGCATTGGGCTCTGCACTGACAGTGCAGAGCCTGCTTGGGATTCTCTGTCTTCTTTGCTCTGCTCTCTGTCCCTTCCTCTACCCTCTCAAAAATAAATAAATAAACATTAAAAAAAAAAAAAACAAATTTGGAGGGGACTATGTATGTCAGATGGGCTCGATTCTTTGCTAGGAAAAATTTAACTTCTGAATCTGGGGTAGAAGTCAAGGAGCTGATTTATAGCATTTGCCTATTTCTGTGTTGTAATTACTCCCACCGTGGCCAATTTCAAACTGTGAACATTATATCAATCAGTTCACACATAACAAGCAGCTGTTATTTCAGTTGTGATATTAATGGTGATTTTTATAAACTTCTCTACATTTTTCTATATTTTTTGATAGGCTAAAAGCATTTATTATCTTAATAATGGAGGAAATGAGGATATAACAGCATCTCTACCCAATGAATGTCAAACAGCTGTTTATATAATTACCATATACTGTTAGTTCCAGCCCTGATAATTTTTTACCATGAATCTATTTATCTAAATTTAGTACCTCCTTAATTCAGAAAATAAAAATGTATTCATTTCAAGGACTTTAACTGCCCCCTCCTGTACCTTAACATTATCTCCTGTCCCCTGCCCCTTGCTCCCTAAAGCACACAAAGGGCTTTCATGATGTCGAGCATGAAACAGAATAACCCCTGTTCAGTATACAGTCATAGTTCTGATGCTACTTAACTCTGAATCATTATTAGCAATGAGTCTGTGGCAAAGCTTTGTGGATTCTCCTGGTCAGGAGCTCCGGGGATTTCACTTGCTTACCTTGAATATCTTTCTCAAAGGTATACTCACCACGCCTACTAGAACTGCTGAGATTCTTAATGAAAACCTCAGACTATGAAATGAGAATCAAGGATAGGGGTAGGAGTAAAATATGCATTTTGCCATGGCCTTCTAGGACTTGAGAGCCACTGCTCCAGAAGGCCAGATAGCTTGCTTGGAGACCATTGTAACTTTGAGTATTGGCATTCCTCAGCCCCCCTTCCTAGCTCATTGGCTTTCAAGCTTTTTAAAATCAACAGAACCCTTTCTTTCAAAAAGTATTAATAATGAAATATTTCAGACATAAAATTTATACTGAAGAAGGCAAACACTCACCTATATACCACCATATTAAAAGATGAAATGGTGCAGATACCACTGATATACCCTGATGTACCCAATCCCATGCTCTTAACAAGAGGGGAAATCTTTTCTGAAACTGACATGCATCACTCATATCCATGTTTTTATGCTTTAACTACATATATATATTCTAAGACAATGGATAATATTTAACATTTTAAACTTCAAATAAGTGACATATTTATGCATTCAATTGTATTCTAAAACTTTTTAAAGCTTGGGTATTTATTTTGAGAGAGAGTGTGTGTGCTTGGGGAAGGAGCAGAGAGACAGAATCCCAAGTAGGCTCCACACTGTCAGTGCAGAGCCCGACATGGGGCTCACATACACAAACCATGAGATCATGACCTGAGCCAGAACCAAGAATGGGATGCTTAACCAGCCACTCAGGCACCCCACATCCAGTTTTTCTTAAAAAAATTTTTTTAACGTTTATTTATTTTTTGAGAGAGAGAGAGACACACACACAGTGTGAGCGGGGGAGGGGCAGAGAGAGTGGGAGTCACAGAATCCGAAGCAGGCTCCAGGCTCTGAGCTGTCAGCACAGAGCCCGATGTGGGGCTTGAACTCATGAACCACTAGGTCATGACTTGAGCTGAAGTTGGATGCTCAACTGAGCCACCCAGGAGCCCCTCCAATTTTTATTTTAAATATCAGCATTATCTGTTGGAAATTTGTCTGTGTACCTATACATAGTTCTAGTTTGTTAATTTTCTCTGCTGTACAGTACGCCATTAAATAACTCGACTATAATTTATTCATTATCCTAGTGATGGATATGGTTGTTTCCAATATTTCCCAGTTACAAATAACACTTCAATAAATACGCTCTTATATATCTTTGCATACTTGTACATATCCCTAAAAGGGAACCTTTTCATTAAAACAAATCTTATATAGAAGGTACAAAATAAGATGAATATAATTGGAGACTCCTTTTGAAATGCGCAACTTTTGTTGGACCCAAGACTTGGCTAAACTTCTAGGTCCTTCTCATCTCTGCCATGTATTTCTAAATGCAAGGCAGGTATGGGGTTACAGTTTTGCCTCCTCAATTCATCTCCAGAGGACTTAGACCAAGTTCCTTACAAAGGTCAGATTGCAGAGAACTCATTTGCTGAATGTCTTTTTCATCTTGGTAACTGTTGAGCCAAGCACACACAGTGCTATGGTAGAGTGGGCCCACAGTAAAGGCTTGTGCAGTATTGTGCGTGGATGTCTCAGGCCTGAGGACACCCACCCCAGAAGAAGGAGTGGTGCCTCTGTTCGTTCTGTTGGTTGCTTCAGTGGTGATAGGAGACAGGCAGAGATCGCTGGTCTTCTATACTCCGTTCACATTCAAGAGAGAATAGTCTTTTCTCACCCAGGAAATATGGTGGTATTGAGAGCCCCAGAACCTTGGATAGGGATTGGTGCCACTTAAATACTCCTGAGACAGGAAATCCGCATTCAGATTCCAAGCTGGATATTCAAGCAGGAGAAAGGAGAGGAGAAAAATCTGTTCTGTTTCCGAAGATTGCACAGCTAACACAGGTATGAAGAGGAATAGACAGGAATATGTGGAACACAGACCAACCTCATTACACTTGCTGAAAAACGTGCTCTAAGAGTGGATGTGCAGCCTCATCTTGAATATGAAGGGTAGAAGGGTCTGTCTACATACAGACTGGGTGGCCAGCTCACAGAGTCATAGGCAGGGTGGTGGGAAGATGCCTGCCTGAGATTCTGCCATTCTCTGTTCTAATTAAAAAGAAAATAAGAACCAAAAGTTATATGAAGTGTATCATAAGACAGGTGTGTCGGTAAGGGATACTTTGGCATAGATTAGTTTTCTCATATTTTTTTGTGGGCGTGAAGGAAGACATCTTTATTCGACCAGGTAACTGGTTGAAAGGTAGCTTGACCCCATTCATGCTCTGTCTCTCTCTGTCCCAAAAATAAATAAAAATGTTGAAAAAAAAATTAAAAAAAAAAAAAAAAAAGAAAGGTAGCTTGAGGGTGTCAGGAAGATGCTTGAGACCGCTGCGACCTGAGTTGGGGGGGAGGGGGTGGTCAGGAGGTTTCCTAGCCAGGTGGAAGGGGATTGAAGGTTCATGAGAGAACACTAGAAGATCTACAGTCGGCTTTGTCCCAGCCTTGAAGGACAGAAGAGTGCGGAAAACACAGCAGCTAGGACTGGGATATGATAGCAAATTATCACTGGGAATTGCAGTAGATGAAGTGGGTCCAGAAAGAACTTGACACCTTTCTGACAATTATTCAGAATAATTATGTCTTTTACAACCTTTTGGATCCTATGACAGCTAATATAGATGTCCAATAGATGTTTATGACTAACTAGCTTCCTTTAAGAAATTACACAATTTCCTAGCAAACTTAAAAGCTACTGTGGCTTCACTGCCAAGCCCTGAGGGAAAAACCTCAAAGTAGCCTCTAATCACGTCAGGATCAGTTCCATGGTCAGGAATTTATTTTGCATTACTTCACATTATAGATATTTTATATGTAATTGTTAACACTGTAGCTATTCCAGGCAGCTGGGTTTCCCTATAAAGAGGTCCTTTTTTTCCCCCCTTTTAATTATCAGTTTACCTTCAAAATACTTGAAATCTTCCTATAACTTTCAGACTGTACTATCTGGCTAGCAGCAAGAAGCCCTCTTAATTTGGCAGAGGTGAATGCTCTCCAATCATCTGTGTTTTTCCTTACAAGTCTCAGGAAAATGATACACAATTATATCAGCCTGGATCAGATGCAACTACAGGAAAGAACCTGTCTATCTGAAGGTGTCATTAAATCCAAATTTCAAACCCAGTTTCTCAACCACCGTATCTCAGCCTTAGATTTTCATTGTTCAGATATTTAAGGTGCAGTAAGAAAAAAAAATCAAACTCACGGATGATCAAAAACTATAAAATGAACTTCTGGCTTCCTTTTAGGGAAATTTCTAGAAACTAGAAAAGGCTGCTTTCATTTTTAAATCCACAGTAAAAAAAAATGCTAACTAATCTATGAAAGCACAACTTTTTCTCAGAGCATCATAGACCTGTGGTTGCAGCACAACCACCTAGCTCAAAATCTAAGGAAACAAAGGATCCTCTAAGGAGAGACTGGACACAGGTAGTTACTTAGCTGCTGGAGACACCAGATGTCATACAAGCTGGTAAGAACTTGGTGAAAATTCTTAACCAATGGCTGAATGTGGGCTAGTGTAAGAAGACAGGACCTCTGGGAGCTCCAGACGCAGGGGAATTTATACCCACTGTCTCATGAGCTCTTCGGGGACCTCACCAGTGCTCATGAGAGAGACTGGGGACAGGGCGAGTCCCAAAGCTTCCCTCGTGGTGCAGGCCCAGGGAAAGGAAGCAGGTAACCCCTGTGAAAAGCACAAAGCCTCTTGTGGGACAAAAGTCTTAAGCTTCTGGGGGAAGTACAGCAAACGCTGTCACCTTTAGGGCATAGATGATCCATGGGAGCTGGAGGAAGGAAATAGAATAAAACTTGCAGGAATGGGTCCCAGATCTTTGGAGATGTCCTAACTACTTGGAAAGGGTCAGGAAACCCTCCTCATTAGAAGCCTCTTATGCATTTGCTGGAACTTGTAAAACTGTACACTTAA